TGACCCCAGGTTGCAATTGCTTTGACCATGTCGTAGCGAAGTCGACTAGAGCGAGCATCTGGGAACATCCGGTGCATAGGTTCGAATCCTCATTGATATATCACGATAATGTGTATCTCGGTGTAACACAGTTGTTGTTACACCAGACATTTTTCTCCTGGGATAATATCTGTGGGTTGTCGACCATATTGCAACGGGTGACATTGCCAGCAGAGAACTGGAAAAAATAAAGTTTGCACTTCCTCTACCCTTCTCCTTCCCTCTCGATCCGTCTCCCTACCTCCTCCCCGTCTGTCTCACCTCCCCTTCTTCCCTCACCTCCCCTTCTTCCCTCACCTGATTCTGGGCGGTTCCAGCAGCAGCAGGAGGCGACGATGATAGTGATGGCCAGGACACCATATATGATAATGAGGGAGAAGGTGAGGGCGTCCAAGGAGCCCACCATCGGAATGTGGTGGTGATCGACCAGGTCTGGCAGCGACGGACACGACTCGCGGCAGTCGGAACACAGGCAGCGGAGGGAGAGGTCCTGGGAGAGGCCACAGGAACGGGGTGAGTGGAAGAGTACGGTAAGAGAAGGAGGAAGGGAAGGAGGACAGAAGAGACGGGTTAGCAGAGAGACAAAAAGATCGGAAAGCACCGGATTGAAAGATAAGTCAACGACAAGAGAGGAAAAGTAATTGATGAAAATTAATTGCATTGGTCTCTGAAGAAGTAGTAAGGGGGAGATAATAGCTACCTACAGTTGTATTGCAAGGGACAATAGCAGTAAATGGGAGGTAAGAGGCCACTTACAGTGGTATTGCAAGGGGCAGTGGGCATGTCAAATGGGGTCATCTGCCACGTGGTGTCGTTCTCAGGATTGGTGGCGTTCACAGGACTCTCGCTCCACTTGTATGTGATGTTGAAGGGAGCGAAGTCATTGTTACCCAGGTATGTAAATAACCTGAAAATGAAGTTGCTGTAATAACTCAATGTTGTTGACCTATAATGATATTGATGACATGATGATTATGAGTACAATGAAATTAAATTAGTTTCCTCTCTGTTTCTCTTTTGATTTATTCAAAGACTAAGGTTCATTAGGAGTGTAATGTTCCCAGTGAACCTGCAACCTAAGATGTAATATCCTACATTAGTTCATCTGAAGCCCCCCCCCCTCTCTCTCTCTCTCTCTCTCTCTCCCATCTCTCTCTCTCTCTCTCTCTCTCATCTCTCTCTCTCTCTCTCTCTCTCTCTCTCTCTCTCTCTCTCTCTCTCTCTCTCTCTCTCTCTCTCTCTCTCTCTCTCTCTCTCTCTCTCTCTCCCCGATTCCAAAGTTGCCAAAATACGAAACGAAAACGAAGTCTGGGTAGATCAGTACCTTCGTAGATTGCCAAAAAGCATTTGATGTTTTCCCTAATAAAAGACTGGTGGTGACCATGGCGAGACAGGCTGGGACAAGTGGGAAGACACTGATATGGCTAAGGGGGCACCTGAAGGATACAGGCAAAGCCTTACAGTCAAAGAGGGTGTCGTCAAGTTGAAGAAATGCGACATGAAGCGACCCCAAGGTTCGGTCCTGGGACCCCAAGGCTCGTTCCTGGGACCCCAAGACTCGGTCCTGGGCCCTCAAGGCTCGGTCCTGGGACCCTAAGGTTCGGTCCTGGGGCCCTCAAGGCTTGGTTCTGGGATCCCCCGCCCCCCATGGCTCGGTCCAGGGTCTAGTACTGGTTCAAACTGATGTGAAAGACCTCCCCCGAAGGTATGACCTCGGTACTTGTCAATGTATGCAGATGAAAATTCCGTGAAGACCTTAACAAACTCCAGAAATGGGCAAGCAAATAATGGTTTAACTTCAGTCCCGACAAATATGTCTAAGGTAAATAAAATGGGGAGAAAAAGAAATCATGAAATTGCTACACCATTAGGGGAAGGTGACTATAAAAATCGGAAATTATATATATATATATATATATATATATATATATATATATATATTATATATATATATATATATATATATATATATATATATATATATATATATATATTATATATATATATATATATATATATATATATAATATATATATATATATATATATGCGAACAAGCCTGAATGGTCCCCAGGACAATATGCAACTGAAAACTCTAAGACCTCCAACTCTAAGAAAACTCTAAGATTATATATATATATATATATATATATATATATATATATATATATATATATATATATATATATATATATATATATATATATATATATATATAAGTATATATATATATAAGTCTGTAATATCAAGGGTCAGCAGTAAATTAATAGAAACTAGAAACAGCAACACAAGTCAAAGAAATGTAATTGAACACCCTGTATGGATGGTCAGCAAGTGTAATTCAGTGAAAGAAGTTGTGGAAGCCACCAATTCTCTCCAACTATTAAGGCCTGGAAGCAATTATCAAAAGAAGGCGCCAAGCCGAGAAGACTATGTAGCATATTAAGACCGGATTCGACGAA